GAATGAGTTGTATTCACACAAATATATTGTCTGTTATATATTGTGAATATGGAAGAGATACATGACACTTGGCCAATGAAGTTGATTCATTGTCAGGGACATTTTATCTAATGCAAAGCAGTGATAAGCACATTTGTTGAAACAAATGTGTTGCTAATCTTTTACGTATATAGGTGGACTGGCACCATTTAAAATGTTTTGCTGCAGATTTATTCGGGAAAAATAGTCAGTCAGAGACTCACAAGTCAGAGAGTGACAAGGGAAGCCATCCACCTTTAAACGTTAAACTGCGTTGCTTTTTTTCCTGAGCAGAGCAATCTCATTACACAATAACTGCAGAAGATGATCAGCCCACACCTGGCACGGGTAACGTTACACCTACATGTCTGCAGCGTGAATAGCTTGATGAATTAAACAGATGGACACCCTCCGCTGCAGGCCTCTGGGTCTGTGGATGACTGTCTCACCATGACATATTTTTGTATTACGGTACAACATTAACCAGGTGCCTGGGCGGAGGAACTGATTCATTTTGACTTATCGAATTTCCTCTATGTTGCATCACGTTACCCGCTACTGGTAGGTCGGGCCGGGGTGATAGCTGATGAAGTTGGGACTCCACACTCACAGAGTCGAAGCCACCGAGGAAATGCCATTATTGGCGGTGCCCTTCGGACTCAGATGATGTTGTACAGACAGGCCAGAAGTGAAGTTATTTGTAAGTGTGCAGAGATTGTACATGGTCCACTTTAAGTGTCTGGGTCCTGATGTGTGCACTACTGCTGTTACTGCATCCAAACTTGAATGTGTTGCTTTAGTGTGTGTGTGTGAATGTGTGGGGTTTTTTTTACATTCTTCTGTAGTGTGTGGCTCTGCAGGTTAGAACTCTGTGCCCATAATTAGAAAGGCACTGATTCATATCTCATGGCTGGTAGAGTGATGTCACCATTGGACCCTTCAACAAGGCTCACAAATGGAGAAAGAGAACTGAGATTTCTGCGGGTCAACTTGGGGTTACAGGAGGTTGAGAAGAGGTCAGAAGTGGAAATCTGAAGGACAGGAGATGCTGATCAGAGACACGTAAAGGAGTAGACAGTGTGTTGAACATGGAAAGTGACCTGAATGATGCCAAGTCGAGAGTGTTGCCTGCTTTGTGAGTCTGAGAAGATTCTCTAAGAGAGAAGTGTCAGGAGGCCGCTGGTGTGTATCCCATCTCTCAGACGGTTGGAGTCACCAAGCAGAATGAGTGGGGAGATACCATCTGGAAAGGAGCTCAGAAGAAAATCCACCTCATCAGTGAAGGTTCCTAGTGGACCTGGAGGCTGATAAAGAACAAGGATGTGGAGTTTAGTTGGATACGTGATTCAAAAGAGGAGATGTTGGGGTGGGGGAGTGTAGTGGGTGCAAAGCGCCATTTACGAGACAGAAGTAATCCTGTACCCCCTCCTCTGCCTGAGGTGCGAGGAGAGCAGGAAGAGGCAAAGGCAGAGGAGAGGGCAGCCAGAGTAGCTGTGTCCTCGGGTGTGATCCAGGTTTCAGTGACGGCCGAGAAGGGGAATGTCTGGAGAGATGCCAGACCAGAGATGAAATCAGCCTTCTTGATGCAGGATTGGCAGTTCCATAAACCACCATGCACGATTGTAGGAGGCTGTGGAGACTCAGGCTGAGAGAGGTTACTATAGGTTTCTGCCTCTCTGGTGAGCGGGTACGTCTTCCGAGTCTGGGAGATATGTGAACAGGTGTAAGGTGTATTTTAAAACAAGTAGCGAGATAAAGAGAAAGAAGTTGACGCAGTGGTGCATAGAAAGTGTTTTAATTAGTGGGTGAGCAGAAGCCACTCCCAGAGATTAACACCATTTACCTTGGGCCTCCTTGCACAAGGTGATAATGGTCTAGCAGATTGCAGTGAAACTAACACAACAAAACAATGGCAGTCTAAAGTGCAAGCTAAAATGTAAGCAAAGTTGCAGAGTGCACAATCTTATGAAGGTGCACTGAATGCTCTATGAATGCATTATGAAGGTGCACTGAATGCTCTATGAATGCATTATGAAGGTGCACTGGATGTTCTAAGAATGCATAATGAATACATAATGAAGGTGTAGTTAATGTAAAGCGTTACCCATATTCCTTGTAACATCTTTGCTTTTCTTTTTCGCCAGTTAAGTAATGGACTTTCAGGTCTCATTTACCCATTTTTGTTATCATGCATAGATAACACAGTGGACTTTACAATCCTCCTGGGGAGCTCAGGTGTCAAGGGGCTATTGCTACACTGAAAGTGCGGTTCATTGTAAGGAACCCATAGTAGAGTTACCTTGGTTCATTTGGAAAGGGCATCGCTGAGAGTCAGACATCGTACCATCTTTTAGTGTTCATAATATGGGGGAGAGGCTTCTTAGATGTCTGTTTGTTGTCGTGACATTTTTGTTTTGCATGCTTTGACATCAGCTGCATGCTGGGTGTTTCCCAGTCTGGGTCTCGGGGACCCACAGTCGGTCCATGGTTTTGCTCCCTCCGTGCTACATGTAAGACCGTCCACATTTCGCGAAAAACAAAAACATGGACTGTAGATGGGTCCCCAAGGACCGGACCGGGAAACACTGTAGTAGATCATTATTGTTGATTTAGCTTGAAACAGAGCAGCTAGGCTAACACTTTCTTTAAGAGTCAATCACTTGGAGATCAGTGACCGCCTGTAGTGGCCGCCCGCAGTGGCCGCCTGCAGTGGCTGCCCGCAGTGGCCGCCCGCAGTGGCTGACCGCATTGGCCGCCCATTGATCGCTGCTGTACTCTGAACCGGGCCTCTCTCAGGTGCAGCCGACAGTCTCGCGCTTAGCTTCTGTTCTTTTGTTTCTATTTGGACAAACACAGACAGCACAAAGTTACATTTCTATGCTGAGCAAACCATTTTGAATTCTGGTGTCACAATATACGGTGTAATGATAAAACAATCAAATATTTAAATTACTGAAACACAAGAGAATTTCAGCTAGTTACTGAAGCTGCTAAGTCACAGGTAACTGTTAACAAAATAATAATAAAAGCACATTTATAGTGACTTTTTTATCAGTTACTTTTATTACCTGAATTTACTTACTTTGATCATCTTCATCCATGTTTAGTTATGTATACACATTCAGGGAATCATGCATCTCTGTAAATGGTAAAAATAAACAGAACATGCAAAGAGCATGGCCAATCAAAAAAGGAACTGCACTGAAATTTTAAGAAGCCATTGATTCTAGAACCTGTTGACTGACTGGCTTTTTTGTGCAAGCTTAAGGGAGGTTAACCCCAAGGTCTCCATCCTATATCCTATCCGTAAGGTAACTTGGCAGTAGGTAGACCAAGAGACAAAATGAGGTGGAAATGCCCACATCAGAAGGACCACATGATTATTTTGTGGTCAAAATTTTATTCAATTCCTAAAATTATTAACCATTGAATTAGTTCAATCATAAATTATAATGGTACATCCATTTTATATACTGTACCTGCTTGTCCTATTCGGCGTCCTGTCCCAGCGGCTATGGGCACAAATCAGGGAATGACCCAGGATGGGGCACCAATTTCAGTCACATTCCCCTGTGGGGGGAAACCAGAGAACCTGGTGGAGAAAACGAATAACAACACGAGGAGAACATGCAGACTCCACATAACGGGAGACACTGCAACGACTCGAACCCCAATCACAGACGTGTGAGGCCCCAGTGCTGATCACTGCACCATCCTACTATTATGGTCATTAATGATAATTATTATTACGTTAGCGTACCTAGCAGCCATCTTTAGCGTGAGAAAGGTTTACAGTCCCACTGAATTTTAGATTTTGGCCTAATTTAGGTGCCCATGCACTGAAAACGCAAAATGCCCCTTGTGTTTAAAAATAAATACAATGAAAACAAATGGGGTCAGGGTGATACTGGAGCCTGTCCCAGGAATCACAGGGCATGAGGCCAGGGGACACTGGATGGGATGCCAGTCCAACGCAGTGCAGTCCGCCCATAATAACGTACGCCCACACACCGAAGACAATGCACCTCAGTGCACGTTATCTGAGTGTAGGAGGTAAGCCATGCAAAGATGGAGAGAAAACTCAAAGTATTAGTAAATATACATCTTTGAATCATCAATATTATTTCATAATACTTTTTGCAGATTTTTACTTTTTTTTTAATATTTTAAAATATATGTCATTTTATTTTGCCATTCAAAGAATGATGTACAGATTCACCTACAGATTATTGGAAATAATACATTTTAAATGAAGAAAGAAAGCTCGCAGAGGAAAACTTGCACAAATATCCTTGCAATAAAGGTGATTCGGTCTGCAGCGCTGGTTGAGGTTATGTTGTTTTTAGGAAAGTGACTCAAATTTCCTGAACTTTGGAGTTCAGTTAAGCAACTCCCAGACTCGGCGGACCCATAGGTCTGGGTATAAAAGACAGGCTCCAGAGCCGAGCGATCAGTCTCGATTGAATGAGAGCTCGCCGACGGGGGTGAAAAGAGTCTCACGGATTCCGGTATGGGAGGCACAGAGCTGTCGCTTCTTCTGCTCCTTAGTGCCTCTGCCTTGTCCCGTAAGTAGCTGTCAGTACCACCTCTGGTCCACCTCAGGTCCCCTTGCTCTAAGTTGATAACGTTTTTAAATAATAATTAACTTATAAAGGCATTATAAAGTCATTTTTGTTACTAAAATAATTTAGAGTATAGATATCACAATAAAAAAATAATTGTACATCTCTCCAAGTATACTGTGGATCTACTTCTACACTTATCAAGTGAAGTTGCACAAGTTTTGGATATTACAAACATTTAAATTTGTCTCCTGGTTTATGGATGTTGCAATATTTAGTGAACGACTTTTTTGTCATATGTTACTAGCTGTTTGTGTCGACGGCGCTCTGTAGCAATACTAATTAACCTATTCTAACTTTCTAACAGTTTAAAGTAATTAGGGTGAGCTAATTTCTTTATTTAATCGATCCATTCTTTAGAATCTCAAGACCTCAGCAGTTCCAGATCGTGTCTGTGTAAGTCCCAGCTTATGCTTTTAAATTATTTTTATGCTCTGTAGCTTCAGCTGTTTAAAAATGGTCACTGGTTGATTAAATTAGTTTGAAGGTGTTAGATTTTGATGTATGTAAGCAAGGGCATAACTTTGGGTTGAGCACTGGGGGGTTGAGGTCTCCACCCATTTAAAAGGGTCCAGGGGGTTGTATTGGCTGGTTATGATTATGGGGGGATGGTTCCAACCCCTCCACCCCCCCTAATTTACACCCATGTATGTCAGGAATAAAATGACAAGGTGTGCACCAATTATGCAAAAATAATCAGTGACAACTCAGTGCAATGCTAACAAAGTTGGAGTTGATTGTGTTTTTTTGTATAACCACATAACCCTGAAGTGGTTTATCCATGACTGACAAATAAAAAATAATAGAATTAACTACTCACAATAAATTTGTGTTCAGAACAAAATTATTCCAATTAGCTTTTGATAATGTTCAAGTATGCTCTTAAAATATAGTCCCTATAAGGACAGAATGTCTGATCAGACTGTTTCTAGGAAGCAGCAGGTCCATGACGTCACCATACAAACTGTCAATAGACGGCCGCTTTCTTCTGAAAACCAAGGAAAATTATGCTGTATGAATGACCACTTATTTATGAGTAAAAAGTCACACAGGTTTTTATATTGACATGTTTAATAATACATTAAACCACATTAATATAGGACTGTATTTAGGCTGTCGGGGCTACCTGTGTGGTTACACGAAAATAATCAACACCGAAGTGGCATCTCTGGACCAATAAGAAAATAGTATTTACCACGGGCGTGGTATAAATTTGGATATTTCATTTATGACATTGAATGATGTTGAAAGGTGAAATCTGTAAAGAACATTAAAATATGTTAGCAAAGAGTTCTGTTTTTAATATTATTTTTTTGTTATTATTTTAGTGGCCAACACGTTTAAGACATTCAAAAAATATGAATACGAGTATACAGCAGAAACTGAGAATGGAGTGACGGGAACCACGGGCCTCACGAATGGACCCAAACTCAGCTGTAAGGTAAACATGACGGCCGTCCATTTCGCAACTTGCTGTAAGCCTCAAACGCACGACTGACTTGTCGTTGACTTTCCGAAGGTGGTGGTTGAAGTTCCCCAGACCTGCAGATTCATCCTGAGCACCTCCCAGTGCCAGCTGTCTGAAACATTTGCCAACGACCCGGACGGTGTCCCTGTCACGCGGCCGGCTGCTGGCACTGGGGCTTTCCAGGCAGCCATGGGGAAGTACGAGAAGGACCTGTGATCCCACACTCTTCAGGGCTGGGACCTCCTTTCAGACTCTGGGTGTTCCTCAATACCAAGAACACAAAGATCATACTTGTAGTCCTGGCGAGAGTCCGATCTGGTTAACTTGCATTCCAAGAATGAACTTGGGGTGCAATGAATCATGGGACTGATGTTGTTTGGCGAGGATGCAACCGATGTATCCTTGATATTTGGGGCGGGGCAAGAACAACATCTGGGGATTTTTACTGTCCTCTGTACTTCTGTTCATGAGTATTGGAACTGGTCTTCGGCAATGGAAGATGATGTAAAATGGGTACAGGAGAACACAAGCACAGTCAAGTATGCATGTTGAGAGACACCCTCTGACTTCAGTTAATGGAAGCATATCCCATTTTGTCCAGGAATTCCCTGAAGTTCATGGTGCAGGATGATGGTGAGGTGAAGTTGTTCCCTGAAACAGATGAAACCCCCACCATCCTAAATGTGAAGAGAGGAATCATCTCTGCTTTGCTGGTGCCTGTGATGGAGGAGGAGGGCAGCAAATACATGGTGGGATTTCATTCATAGTAACATAGCCATCCCATATTACTGATACTCAGCAATGGTTAGCAATAAAGTGCATATCAACTGCAGATCTGTAACGTTTTATGATCCTTTTCAGGAAACCCTACATGGACTGTGCAAAACTGATGTCACTGTCAGCTCCAGGGGGAATATTGCCAACAATGTCACCTTCATTAGAGACCTATCTAAATGTGACCACTTCAACCCAATGAAAGACTTCACAAGCCCCCTGGCGCTCATGTCTGGCCTGGTGAGACATCTTAAGAAAGATTAATGAGGGCATTTTAAGCCTTGGTTATGAAAAAAAATAAATCTTAACAGAACATTGTAAATTTGAATGATTTCTGATGAAGTGGACTTGCTTCCACTTGTTTAGGGCATGTTGATCTCTCTCTCCTTCTGCAGGACTTCCCGCTCTCCCAGCTGATCCGCAGCACTCAAACCTGCAGCTACCAATTTGATGACAAGACGCAACACATGACTACAGGGACTTGCTGGGAGAAGCACATATTCCTACCTTTCTCCAACCAGTAGGTCTTCAACATCATACCCAGAGTCACTCAGTGCTTTGTTTTAATGGTGTGCATTGGTTTTGGTTATTTCCAATGCTCATTTCTCAGACAACCTCTCTTGCTGCTTTTTCCTGCTTTTTTTTCTGACACAGGCGAATATATGGAATTTCTGCACGAGTGACACAGACCTTGAGACTGGTTGACTCAAGCAAGAGCAACAACCGAGCCTATGATCACAGTAAGTGCCACGCCAGTGTGGTCTTCAATAGTTCAGGCTTGTCACATTGCTAAGTTTGGACGGTGCATGATCCATGTCACATGAAGATGTTAGGATTGAAGAGGGGTTTTTGGAGGGTTAGTGACTTTTACAATAAAGGGGGTGAACCAAGAAACAAGATGGCAGTTTTCGGTAGAAGAACACAGTGACACAACATGGAAGCAGCAGAAGCATGACCAGGAAGTATGACCAGGAAGCATGACCAGGAAGTATGACTGAAAACAAAAGGCGTATTAATCATTAGTAAATATCCTTAGTAAAATGATGGCAGGTAAATGGACAATGGATCTCACCGCACCCTGGGATATACACTGAAATCTAAATTAATACTTATGCTCACTTAATTACTAAAGGTACAACTTTCAAATACAGCTCTGAAAAAAATTAAGAAACCACAGCAATATTTTTAGTTTCGCTCATTTCTCAATTTATAGGTATGCACCTGTGCAAAATTTACATGATTTTGCAAACTCCAGCCTGGCTCTTCCCTGCTTCTCATTGATGAAGGGCTTCTTCCTTCCTTATAGGTCTTCAATCCTGCTTCTAGGAGCCTGTTATGAACTGTCCTAGCAGTGCATTTCACACCTGCACTTAATGTTTCCCATTCCTTTTGAAAGTCACTAGAGGTCATCCTCCGATTTATGAGGCACAGCCAGATAAGTTGACGGTCATCTCTGCCATTAGGAAGTCGCTTCCGCCCTTTACCTGGCCGGGTTTCGGTTATTGCCAGTACCTCCTGCTTCACCTGGTTCTTGTGTACTGTTGTCTAAGAAATTTAGTACCTGGAAGCAGCCTGCTGCTCAGTGTAACCTTCTGCCAGCAGAACCAGGATTAAGACCGGATTCAAAAGTACAGATTTTTAAATAGTATAGAGTGAGCTCTTAATTTTTTCCAGAGCTGTATGATTTATGATAATTGTAATTAACTAAGGTCTCAAGGTTTCTATATATTTGTGCAGATGAGGCAAACATGAAGGATTTGCACATGGAAGCTACTGCAGACAAGGCTCCTACACAGACAAAGGACACCATGTTGGCTAGCATGAGGGAGCTCAATGCTCTATCCCAGACCGATGATGGGGAAAGGCGAGCCGGCCTCTTCCACAAATTAGTCAGCGAGATCCGCCAGCTCCGGAACGAAACCCTCAGCCATGCTGTTACAGAGATGCTTGAGGTGTCCAGCCTCTTGACCTGGCAAGCGCTGGCTCAGTGTGGAACCCCAGAGTGCACCAGCGCCATCCTGAAGATTCTCAGGACCTTCGACAGAAGTTCCTTGGAGATTGATGCCGTGGTTTATTCCATGGGTTTCCTTCCCAACGTCAACATCCAGGACATGCTTACCATGGCACAGTACAAGCAGAGCAAGGCCATCATGTACAGTCTGAGCAACAGCATCAGGAGGTAAGCAAACAACATTAATGAATTGCTCATATTGGTCTTCAGATTTATGTTTCTAAATAATACTTGATTACATTTCTATGCCTTTTTAAAATTATTAATTTCCTTTTATTTATTAATAGTCTTTACTCCCAGAAGAGCTTTATAATTCTCATAAGTTTTCGCACCATGTTCACCGAACAGATTCTACCAAAGTGAACCCAAAGTCACACCTGAGATTACTGCTGTGTCTGAATTCATGGCCTCCCAGCTGGGCAGTGATTGCTCAGGTGACAAGGACCAAATTTTTCTGACTCTTAGGGTGTGTAGATTTTACTCCTTGTATCCATCGCCATTTTCTTTCTCTCTACTCATCTCTTCTACGATACCCAAAGGACTCTTCACATTAAAAGCCTGAACATCTGCTGGTTTGGATTTTGTAGGTCTTGGGGAACATGGGAGAAGCTATGGAAGCAGCCAGTCCTGGCCTGAAAAAAGTGCTCCTGAATTGTATAAGTCAACCCTCTGCAGCCCTTTCTGTCCAACAAGCTGCCATCCAGGCCTTCAGACAAATGACAGCCGACGAGGAGGTAACCAGAATCTGTTGCCTTCATGGCCATTTCAATAAATCGTGCTTTTATTGAACATTCTTTGGATTTGTATAGATAGAACATTTAAACATTCCAAACACCATACTCTATCCAAGACGATACTCTGTCCAAAACCACACAAAACATTTGAATCTCCTGAAGTGCCCTAAAATGTTATCTGAAGGTAAACAGCTACACCTCATTACCAAAGACTGTAGGAAAGTGTATGTTCATGACATAAAGGACATTGTGTGTCTTCCTGCTAGGTTCGGCGCATTTTCCTGAGGGTGGTATTGGATGGTGCAAGCCCCGTGCAGAAACGACTGGCTGCCTATCTGATTCTTATGAAGAATCCGGAAGCTGCCGATGTAGCCTCCGTTATTAAGGCTTTGCCCAAAGAGCAGGATCCACAGGCCAAGAGCTTTATAGCCTCCTACTTGTCCAACATCTTGATTTCACAAGACCCTGCATCTGAAGAGTAAGTATATAAAACTACAATATATGTGTTTAACAAAACCAGAATCACAGATTTTCATTCCACTTGTGACCATTACCTCCTCTGTTATCCATACAGCATTAAACAAATGATTAAAGATGCCTTACAGGGCAATGACTTACCCACTGCCCAAGACTTCAGAAAATTCTCACAGAACTACAAAATGGGTTTCATGCAAGGAAACACAATCTTTGATTCCACTGGTTACATGCCCAAGGAGGTCATGCTGGAGACAACCTTAAAGGCTTTTGGATATCACCTTGACGTGTTTGAGGTGAAAAAGACACACAAATAGCTTTAACATATTGGTCTAAACCAGTCAGGACATGTATTTAGACAATGTACAGGTGTATCTAATAATCTAATCAAATCTAATAATATACACTTACAATCTTATTGTACAATTTAAGGTTGGAATGGAGGGAAAAGGATTTGAACCGACCATTGATGCTTTGTTTGGACAAAATGGGTTCTTTCCTGACATTATCCTGAAGACCATGTACTGGGCTGAAAACAAAATGCCAGAAAAGGTCAATGAAGTTTTGAAAAGCTGGATGCCACTCCAGAACGAGAAAGCAAAGGGACAGGTATGCCACAAATGGAGCTGTACTTAAGGCCATAGTCAATTAAACATCATAGTTGGAAGCTGACCCTGTACTAGATAAGCTGTTGGAAGATGGATGGATGGATAGATGGATGGATACAGAAGGCTGCATATATTCTTTTTTCCAATTTGATTTCTGTAGGTTCCCCAGAACATTGTTGGTGAAATTGAGCGTAACTTTGGCAAGCTGCTGCACGAATTGAGGACTCAGCAGTCCCCCGAAGCCATGGCGTACCTTAGGATCATGGGAACCGAACTGGGATATATAAAGACCAGTGAGATAAAAGACATCACCCAATCTGTAAACATGATCGTGGACAAAATCCTTAGGATGTTCCCCAAAAATGTACTTGCAAGTTTTTTTCTTTTAATTGTAAAATGTCAGAACTTCTTGTAACTTCTGAAACTCATTTCATTGATGCGCACAAATAGTAGTGAAAATGAAACAGTCAACCATAATTCTCTCTGTTTTCCTCTTAGGTTTTGAAGTCTTTCATGTCCAGCACTGACAATGAGATTTTTGCTCATTACATCTTCATGGACAACAAGTTTTCTTTGCCGACTGTTGCTGGATTCCCACTTAAGTTCTCCCTTTCGGCTACATTTGCACCTGGAGCTAAAGGAGGTCTACGTATGGCACCCAGGCTGGTAAATATCCCAGGCACCATTTGATTTTAATGATGATAGTTCATAAAATAAATATCAAGGTAATGATTGAGGTTCTTCTCTGCCAACAGCATGAATTGTCATTTAGGCCATCTGTAGGAGTGGAATTCATTACTCAGATGGGTGTCCACATTCCTGAGTATATTCTCTCAAGCATCGATATGCACACCACTGTGTATCATGAGAGTAAATTGAACACACGACTTTCTGTGACCAACAACCAAATCAAGCTGGCCTTCCCTGTCCCTCAGGACACAACCAAGCTCTTCAGTATCAGGTTTGGATTTTATTCCATGTATGGAATTTATTTCCATACGCTAACACTGTGTGTTGGTTTGTGTCAACTGAATAAATGAATTAAGTCATGTCTTTTATTAACTGCAGCAACAAGCTGTTGTCAGTGACTTCAACTGGGACTTTGACAATATCTCCATCAGCTGCTGCTAGAACTGAATCTACAGAGTGCCAGCCGTTATTCTCTGGTGTAAATTACTGCACCACACTTCAGTATGCTAACACTGGTTCATCTAGTGATGTTCCCTACTTCCCTCTCACTGGAGAATCTAAGTAAGAGCTCTTTTTGGAATGCTGGGGTTTCAGATGCATATGAGTGTTGATTCAGAACTTCTAAAAATCTGGATTAAAATTGAGGTGCGCGTTTTTTACAGGTTTGCGCTGGAGGTTCATCCCACTGGTGAAATCACTGAATATACTGCCGCCATTACCTATGAAACTGTAAAGGAGGGAAAAGAGGGACGGCAGAAGGTGGACACTCTGAAGATGACTCTAAAGGCAGAGGGTATGAGAGTTATCTAATAGACAGTGGTTATTAAGACACTAAGACAATGAACAATGCTAAAGTCAACTTATCTCATCCCAGGCACTCAGCCATCTGAGGCCACAGCTACTCTGAAATACAACAGAAATAAGAACGTCCTATCTACTGACATCCAGATCCCTGACTATGATGTAGAGGCTGGAATTAGGTTAAGTTTCACTGACAGCGATGCCAGAAAGAAGGGGGTTCACAGCATCACCATTGACATCGTCAACAAGAATGTGCCTCAGCTGTCTCTGATTGGCCGCACAAAGTAGGTCCACCGTCATCCACCCCTTTTCAAGTATTCAGTTTGCACATGTCTTCAACGTGTCTTGATGACTTTTGGTTTTCACGTCTGCAGACTTCAGGGAATGAAAGATGGTCAGGTGCAGCTCCAGTTCATCTTCCCTGCTCTGAGGACTGAGGCTGCGCTCACTGCCACCATGACAAATGCTGAGGAAATCATCCTGGACATTAACAGCTCCATTAAAGTCTCAGGGACTTCCTCTTTACAGCAAGTCATCTTCAAATACGGTACACTTTTGTATTATTCACATCAATTTAAGGATGTGGTTCTGCTTTTATCTGTATTGGCAGTCATGTGGAACATACTGTATATATTTCAAATTAGTTGGACCATGTTTTACAAGGAGGGCAGCACTGTGGCGTGGTGTTTAGCATTGCTATCTCATATATCAGGGGCGGGGGTTCAAGTCTCTGCCCTGGCTCCATGTGTATGGAGTTTGCAGGTTGGCTCCATGTAATTATGGGATGTCTAACAGGTACTCTGCCTCCCCCCATCCCCCACCCAGTCCAAAAACATGTTATGGTGAACTGGAGCTGCCAAATTGTCCATAGGTGTGAAGGAAGAGTGTGAGTGCCCTGCAATGGGTCGGCACCCTGTCCTGGGTTATTTCCTGCCTTGTGCCCATAGCTTGTGGTACAGGCTCTGGAGCCCCATGACCCTGCATAGGAGAAGTCAGTATAGAAGATGGATGGATGATGGAATTCTACAAAACAAACTTCTAAGTCACTGTGCTCATGTTCTTTCCCTGTTGCTTGATGCATTTCTTTGATATACTAAATTGTTAAAGGCCTTGGAAAATATGTATATACAGTAACAGTCAAAGTCTGGACACACCTGCTTTTAATGCATTTGTCTCTATTTTAACTATGTCATTCACCTTATAATAAAGGGCTGCACAGCAATGAAATAATGCATATCAAATATTGCAACCACAAATAGAAGTGTTCAATATCTCAAAAATTTGCTCAGATTTCCATCTCTTCAAAATAGCCCCCCTTTGCTTCGACAACAGCATTGCAGACTCTTGGCATTCTTTCAACCAGCTTCCAAATACAGCCACCTGGAAGGCTTCTCCAACAGTCCAGAAGTAGTGTCCACAAGTTCTGGACACATGTTGGCTACCTTGATCTTACTTCCATCCAAGTCATTCAAAACCAGCTCTACAGGGTTTAAGTCTGGTGATTGTGGGGATCAGGTCATCTGTGGCAGCGCTCCATTTATTTGTTAAATATGTACTACTTAAGCTCAAGGGTCATTATCTTGTTGGAAAATAAATGATTTTCAGTTGGTGTGTCCAGACCTCACCGGTACTGTATATATGTTTCCAGATTTTTTTTTTAGTTCAAACTAAGCAAGTGTGTGTAAGACAGTTAATGTTGATTTTTCAGATCTGCAAAAGCCAATTTTCGTATGATGTGTTGGAATGACGCAACCATTTTGTTTCATTGGTAGATGGTAGCATAGCCGAGGTTGAACTTGTGTCCGATATGGACTCTAAAGTGCAAGATTTCTTCCCCGACACTGAAGTATATCAGAAGTTCATCAATCACATTTTGGACCAGAAAGTGGCTAAAACTGACATGAAACTACGTCATATAGTATCAAAATCCTATGAGGTAAAAAGGGAGTGTATGTGTGTGTGTGTGTGTGTGTGTGTGTTATGTACATATTACATTGTGGGCACCAAATGTCCCTGTTATTTTGACACTGTGGCAACATCCTTTTCGGTCCCCAAAAGAGGAAACTCAATTTTATTAAGTGTGACTGCAATCAAAAAACTAAAAATGTGAAAAGTCTTGTATTTTGTGTGGTTACTTATGGTTAAGGTTAGGGCTGGGTAGGGGTTTAGGTTGCCATTATTGCGATTAGGATTTTGCCCCTAGAAATGAATGGAAGTTCCCCAGAAAGATCTGAATAGAAACGTGTGCATAGATGTGCATGTGTGTATGTATGTTTTATGTAGACTAAATTAAATCAATAATGTACAGTGACCAAAATTCCTTTTACAGGCTGGCCAGATCTGGCTAAGAAAGGTAGCATCTAATGTTCCCCACATGGGGCTCCTGCCGGAATTTACCTTGCCTTCTATGCCTGAGAAATTATTCCTGAAATCGTAAGTATTTAACCTGCATGAAATTATTTACGCATTCAAGGTACTGAGATGAAGATTGTGTAATGTGTAATTGTGTAATCTTTTTGTAATATCTCATAATCATTTCATATAACCATAAACCACTAAATTAATGATTGTTAATTGCTATTCATGAAATATATGTTTCTTTTCACAGAAAGAGCAAATTTAGTTGGAAGTTCCGAGACCAGTTTATTGTCGGCATCGCCTTGCCTTTTGGTGGAATATCTTCCAAGCATCTGAACATGCCTGAAAAAATTACTGTCCCTCACCTGTCCATCCCTCAAATCGGCCTGGAGGTCCCAGCCACAGAAGTCAGAATCCCCGCCTTCCACATCCCTGAGGTTTTTAAACTCACTCTGCCCCTAAACGATATCATTGATTTCTCTACCGTGGTGAACAGCAACTTCTATAACTGGGAGGGCTCTCTCTCTGTTGGCAAAGATACAGAAAAAAGTTATATCGCTAAGTTCAAAGCGACGGCTGATTGCCCTCTTGAACTTCTATCCTATTCAGCTGGAGGTATGTACCTTAAATATTCCACAAATTACCCATTGTTTAAATGTCACAACGAGACTGCAAAAAAATTTGCAATATAAGATTATGAATTTTATCTTTTAATTGTCATTTCCATTTACATCTTTACTTAGGTGGTGCAGATTTTAGCTACGGTTCAACCCTGGCAAAAGCAACTATGGACTTTTCTCTGACCCATAATCTTATCAACATCAATTATAACACTTCATGTAGTGTAACTATTTTTCACATAGTTGGCCTACAACAAACTTCTACATTCAAAGCTTCAAGCCCACTGGGTCTGGAGACTTCAGTACACCACACTTATGAGGTTATAAATTACTACGGTAAGATAACTGAGAAGAGCAACACGTCAGGGCGCATAATGGTTGGCTCTTTCCATGGTAACATCTTCTATGTATATTCTGGAGAGATGGATACCTCAATAAAACAGGGAAGAGCAGAGTCTACGCTGACCATGTCCTCAGATGTCCTCCAAGCTGAAAACAGGATTGTCTTCCTCTATAATAATGACAAGCTGGCCGTGACGTCCACCACAAACACGCCGAATGATGGTGTGGTGCACACATTAGAGTTTAGCCTCAGCGATACCCATTTATCACTAAAATCCAATGCTGTCACCAAGGTCCTGAGCGTAACAGTCAGTAACCAAGTGGAACTTGCTCTCTCGCACGAGGCCGTTAGCATCACAGTGGAATCTCGTGCATATGGCACACGCCTGCATGCTTTCTCTCTGATTTCTGGTTCCCTCGGTGAAAATGGCCTGGAAGTGCAAACAGATAACTCAGTTCATTTTGACAGAAGTCTTCACACCAATAACGGCTCCCTAATAATCAGCTTGGGCAGGCTGGCCTTTCATAGTAACACACACCTTCAGAATAACCTCCTGACCTTCGAAAACATCATCAAAGGTGGAATTGACAGCTCTGGAACAAGTCTATCTGTATTGTCCAAGGGTTCAGTAGAGGGTATGAAGACAGAAAGCACTAATACGCTGTCTCTAACTTTCACAACCCTAGCACTGCAGTCCAAGACTGAAAATTTTGTAGGCAAAAGCAGTTTCTACAAGCACAACATTGACGTTGACCTGAAGCCATTCACTGGAGTTGTGATAATGAGCAATGATCTTAAACTTCTGGATGTAAACTTCCTTCACAATGGGCAATTTAAGCTGGAACCTTACAAGATGGATGTGTTTGGTAACCTAAAGGGAATCATTGGAGAAGAGAACATTATGCATAAGTATGAAGTCAGCTTTTCCGACTTGAAACTGAGTGCGAAGAGCATAACTAATGGAAACGTACTGGGTGCTCATATAAACTATGTTTCTGACATGGAGGCAACACGACTGTCTGCAAGGCTGAACAGTGAAGTGAGCTTCAAATCAGAATCTCTCCATGTCACAGGCACTGTCCGAACCCTTGTTCAGCCATTCATTGTCAGTGCAGATGTCATGCTAAATTCGAATGGTAATCTTGACTGGTATGGAAAACACACAAGTCAGCTTTACAGCAAGTTGGCCTTCAAAGCAGAGCCTTTAGCACTTGCATGTTCTCATGACCTTAGAGCTTCCACTACCCATCAACTGGATGATACCCCTTCAATTAAGACCCAGCTGGACCACAAAATCGACACATCGCTGCATCCTCAGGAGCAAAGAGGCATGTGGAAAGTAAAATATAAGCTAAACAACCATGCATACGATAAAGAAATCAGTGCTTATAACAGCCATGAAAGAATGGGAATAGAGATGTCAGGAAAAATTACCAGTCCTTTCTTGAATGAGGCCGATACAGAGAATCAAGAACTCAGTATTTCTGCTTACCTCAAGTATGACAAGACAGGTGACAGCCATGTTGTTGAATTACCTTTCATCATAAGTCTGTCTGGAATTTTTGAGCACTTAAAAATGAACATTGTGAGTGTTTTAGAGTTCTTTAAACAGTACATCAAAAATGAAGAATTTAGGACCAAAATGCAAAATATGTTTAAGTCTGTTACTTATTATATACAGGAGTATGATATGGACAGTATGATCTTTATTACTGAAGATAAATTGATGGAGTATTTTTTCACAACGGAAAGTTTTGCAACTTTCCTGGAGAATCTAAGAACCAGCACAAAAAGAATTCAGAGTTACGTACAGGTCTGGGTTCAAAGCTTTGCAGCACTTTTGACGGACACGTTTGAAAATGGAACCTTGGGCGACTCCATAAACAACCTCTTGCAAAAACTTAGAAATGAAATGAGGGCAATCCATGCTCAATATAAGATCAGTTCCATCATTGTCAGAATCATTAATGCTTTTCAAGAAATCATACGTTCACAATATCTGGACGGTAACTCTACCGGGTTGCAGGATCTTGATGCCAAATATGAAATCAGAGCTAATCTTCTGAAGAAGCTTGGTGAACTGGAACAGAAAGTGAAGATGTTTGACATCATGCAGCTCATTCAGGAATTTAACATTGGAGAATATGCAGAACATTTAGTTTCTCAAATTCCCATAGAAATCATAAAAGAGGTTAACAATATCAACCAAGTGATCATCAGTTTTATGGAAGAATATGATGTAAAAGAAACAATTAATGAGGCATCTATTGTGCTGCGTGAAATGTTTTTCAGGTATGAAGTTGACAAGAAGGTAGCCCTGTTGGTTAAAGTGATGGAACTCATCATGTTAGAAGTCAACAAAGCAATTAATACTCTAAAACACGTTGACCTCCTAACCCTTTGTGACCAAGCCATTCATGGTCTGGATAATGCAATTAACAATGTGATGGAAACTGATTTCAGAGAAATGACAAGCCAACTGAATGACCACATTGATTATCATGTAGACCTGATCCGTGGTGAAGTTAAATTCCCAACCTTTGGCAAGCTCTATAGCCAGATTAGATTCAACTCCCCATATTATAACCTCGTAACGAATGCTGAGCTCCTTAATTCCACCACTAGCTCAGAAACACCACAATTTACAGCTTTACTCAATTCTAAAGCTTCATCGGCTTTTGAGGTCCTAGATTACACACTGAATGCCACTGCACTTCTTGCAATGCCTAAAATGAATCATCTCATCATAGATGAGAACTGCAAGATCAATCACGTTGCCTTTTCAGTTGACCACCAGAGTTCTGTTACAGTCTATGGCATATCTGCTCAGGCTTCAGGTCAGACTACTGCCAGAACAAGCACAGAACCCTACACTGCTGAATTTGTCAACAGTGTCTCCCTTGCTTTGGGGAGTGAAATATCGATGACTGTTGATAACACCTATACTCACAAGTTGAACATGCCGGATGTTGCAGTATCCAGCCGAGCCAGTGGAACTCAGAGAGTATATGCCAATCTAGAGTCTGGGACTTTCAACGTGAAGATTAACAATAAGGCCAATGGGAAGTGGACCATCCAGGAATACTCAGATGAAGGTTCTCATCAGAGCGACATAACGTTTACTACAGATATTACAACTGCTAAATTTAACATAGAAGCTAGCACAAACATCCAGGATCTGAAAGCAAAACAAAAATTAAATGTTGACTCTGTCATGCTAGAAACCTTTAACATTAATGGACATGCTGAGATGGAATCGCCCTTCATTAAAAATAGCATGGTCGAACTTCATGGAAATGTCAATATGGAGGAGGTAAGTGTAAAACTGAATGTTTCCCATAGCACAGAGCTCCTTGGGACTGTCACTGGAACGATATCCAATTCAGTCTTTTTTTTTGCTCACCCAGAAGAGCTTGTTTTTGATTTCCTGAACAAACAAAACACAAAGATCAGTCTCCCCATACAATTAACTGCAAAGATTGACCTTCAGAATGATTATTCTGTCATTCTTAAGAATGAAGTGCAGCAGGCTAGCTGGGTTAGCTTAGCTCGCTTCAACCAGTACAAGTACTCCCATAACTTTACTATGAACAATAACAACAAGGATGCTGGCATTTATGCTAAAATAAATGGTGACGCTAACCTTGACTTTTTGGATGTCCCAATCACCATACCAGCAGTAGATGTGCTGTTGTACAGAACCACATCTTTTGAAAAAGTTTCTTTGTGGAGACACACTGGCCTGATGAATATATTGACTACACCTCAACAGTCACTTAACATGGATTACAGGCTTTTATATCATAAGACACAGGATTCTGTGAATGCCTTTGGAAACCTAACCTCAGACCTTTCCTTTAAGTCGGCGATAATTACTCTAAATGTCAATACCGCCCTGTACAAGCAAAACGACATTGTGGCACGAATTGTGGCTTCTTCAACCTCTGTGTTCGATGCCCTGAAAGGCAAAGTTCTTGGCAACATTAACCTGACCACAAAGAAAACGGTGAAACTAGCCACTGTTTTGTCGGCTGAGAGTAAGAATTTTGAAGCCACCCACAGCAGCGCAGTCAGCCGTACCAAGAAAGGCGTGGATATCTCCATGTCTACTATTGCAAAGATTAACTGCCCTATCATAAACCTTGACTTCGACCAGGAACTTACCGGAAACATTAAAACTACTCCTAAAGCAATTTCAAAAATGAAGTTAAAGTACAGCTTTAATCTACCCATAATCAACGCCATTGGCCAGGGAGATATTGGCCATAATTTCAATTTGGAAGGAACATTGAGGGACATCTCTCTGGAGACAATGGCTAAAGGAAAAACTGTTGGAATCATTAACTCAAATATTGAATTCACCAATGTGATAAACCATGATGCGAATACGTTCATGAATGCCGATGGGTTACGCTCCTCCACAAAGACTAATGTCATCTTCCAAGTCAGCCATGAAGACCGTAAAACATGGGACATGGACATGAAACAGGACGTAGCACTGGATGTATCTCTGAATCGCGTGTATGCTGTACTAACATACACCAATGATAATGAGGCCAACCTGCTATTCTTAAATACCAAAGGCAAGCACATAGCTAAGGCAACTCTTGATCTTTCTCCAGTGATGTCACTGATAGGAAAGGTGCATATTGATATGTCACAGCCAACCAGCTTTAGTGAGGGACATCTCTTTCAAGATATAGTTCTTGAAGTCACTCCTTGGAAGCAGAATTTCAGTTGGGAAGGCAGCGAGAAACTCTCATCGCTGTCTCATGCCCATAAACTACTTCTTTCCAATAACATGGCAGAAGAGAAAATGGAAGTGAGGAGTTCCTGGGATGGTCATATTGCTTTCCTAAAGTCAATAAATCTACCCGTCTACCAGAAGAATCTATGGGAAGTGCTGAAATTTGACCAGGTCACTAGTGTAGAAAAGCTGCAGTTCCTAAAATTCTCCTCTGATGTGGTACACACCAAGAACCAGGGCGGACTTGGCTTTAATGAAATGTCTGCCACTGCAACACTTTCCTGCCCCATTTATACCATGACATGGACTGCAAAACTAGAAAACCAAGCTCCTAAATTCATCACTTCACTTAAGTCTTCCTGCACTTCAACTCTGGTCTTCCTCGAGTTTGATCTGGATGGTAAGTTTAGAATAATCTTTGGCAGGTTCTCCATAATGTGAATTTCATGCATTTGTACAAGACCTTGAAACAATTCAGTTATATTTAATCCTTTGTCTGTTGTAGCCATTGCTACTGCTAGCTTTGAGGACGATACCGTGGGACTGAGTGGCAGAGGTAACTTCAGACATGATGACCTAAATATTGACTGGAAGCACGTGTGCACCCATCCTCTAAGGTAACTCAGCAATACAATGGTACCTCAGTTCTCAAACTCATTAGAACTCGTATTTCTTAAAAGCCGAACCAACCAGCTCGAAAAAAAAAATTACCTAGAACTCGATCTGAATCTCAGAAGTGAAATGAGTCACACGGCACGTCTCTCAGCGGAAACATAGGGTAAGGCTTCAGTCTAAGCTTCGCATTCGCTGTGATAGCATGGTGCATGTTTACACTAGCTGAATACATATATTTAGACAGTAAAAATACATTTAGACAATGATTGACAGTAACAGTAAATATTATTATATAATAAAATACATTTTAAAATAAAGATTTCTTATTAATTATTTTAATATTAATAATAAGCCATTAATACATTTAATTATAATAATATTGTCGTGCCCACAAGGGCGTAACTTTGGCTGGAACATTGAGGGGGTCGAGGTCTCCACCCATTACAGGGGAAACATGATTATTGGGGGGGTTATATTGGCTGCATGGATCTGATTATTGGGGGGGTCATAACCCCCCTGGAAATTACGCCCATGCGTGCCCAGAGGGCATGACAATATCATTATAGAACGGAGACAAAGGCGCAGACGTCGGGGAATACCGGGTTTAATTACAGGTAAGGCAGGCAAAACGCAGACGGACAATACAATGACCGGACTGGGGAAACAAACTGAAATGCGGACTAAATACAGAGAACTAATGACAACAACCGGAAACAGCTGATCACACGGGGATTCCACGCGGGGTTACACACGGAAGGAGTGGACGATTGGGGCAGGACACATTGTTTTTTTTTTAACTTTACACATTGTTTAGACGCATTTATTTTCTTACTTTACAAATTACTGTGTTGATAAATGTGCTTAGATGTGTCTAGTACATTATATGCTCTTCTTGTTTTATCCAGTTCATTTTGTGTTTAAATGCTAAAAAAAACATATTTAGGTGTATTTTTTGGGGGGCAGGGAACCAATTCATTGGTTTTCCATTATTTCTTATCGGGAAAATTCGATCACAACTCAAACTTTTTAGGATTCGATCCGGAGTTTTGAACTGATTAAATTCGAGTTCTGAGGTACCACTGTATTTCAATATTGAAATCTGAACTATAAAGTGCATTTTACTGTTGATTTTATGTCATGGCTTTCATATCTTTTTCCAAGGATGAAACGCCATGTGCCTCCTGATGCGAGGCAAGTGTAAAAATTATACTGTCTATATTAGCTATTTATTGTTAATGCTGAGTGTGCCAGAAAAATTAACATATTGCTGACTCCTTTTTTAGCACGTCGCACCACACCCTAACTGTCGATGTCACCAGCCCCACATTCACCAACTTAAAAATCCAGTATGCATCCCAAGACAATAGCATAAATGCAGGCGTTTCTAGTTCGACTTGTGGATTACTTGGTTTTAGGCTGGAGAAAAAGACCCCTTTGCAGATTTCTGGCGTCCTATTTAGTCAATACCCGGTAAGGATGTGTTTTAGCTTGTCAAATGACTCTTTGTTGCTTACAAAACAAAAAATTAAGGCTATATTTTAATAAATATGCCATAATTTCCCCTTATTAAAACCTCAGACGCATGTGATTGTAATTATTTATGTGTTTCATTGATCTCATTGCACCATGGTTTGCTTCACTTCACTTTGCTAATCATATAAAATCATGTTTTGTTTTCTTATATTCCACAGAATGCACCTGAGATTGATACTGACATCCTGAGTATCAGGGTGTCCCTAAAAAATCCAGAGAGGCTGAATCTTCAGACATCTTGGAACATGAGGCCCGTCGATGACATGACCTCGGGGCTGGTAGACAAGGTGCCTGTTATTACTGCCTCATTTGCTAATTTAGTAAATAAGTATCACAAAAGCCTTTTTGGGATGGACGTCGAGAGCACCGCACAGGAGCTGCAGCGGACTGTCTACGGTAGCATAGAGGAGGCTTATCGCAGGGTTACTAATGAAATGCCCCAATCCCCAAACATAGCTAGTTTGTCTGTCATATTCAGAAGCGTAGTCAGGTGGTGTAACAAAAACATGCAGGCTGTTTTTAACTCAGCAGACTTGGCCCTTAGTGAAACCTACATCCAGCTGCCTGGGCTTAATGAAACACTCGCTGTTCCACAGCTCTGGGAAAGAACTGTTGAATCGATCTTCCATGTCCTGAAAATGTATGTACACTTTCTGGGTGCCATTACCGGCCACTTTAGTGACATCAAGGTGCTAACGCCCTTCAAAGAAAATGCCCTCACATGGAAAGAATACCTAGAAACCTTTGAGGAAGACATCGCACACATGGAGGCCATCATGATAAACCTTGATATGACCACATTTGGAGATTTCTTTCATTTCATACTTCAGTTGGTAGAATATATTTTTGGCGACCTGATAACTGAATATTTGGATCCTTTTTGGGCTATTTTCAGTAAATTCTACTCCAAAACATTAATCTCGGTCAAAACAAAGATGGAGGACGTCCAAGCCGAGATAAACATGGAACAGTTAAATAAGGTTCTTCAGGGCATGATCGATGCTATTACCGTGCATCTGGGTGCATTTGGCAGTGAGGTTATCAATGCTTTACAACACCTGGCTTCTGAGGACATGCAGACATACATGCAAATAAGTAACAACCATATGGAAATCAATATTCCTCTTCAATTCATTCACTGAAATGGAAATGGTGAAACAGTGATTCTGTTAAACACTACCATCTGGATGGGAAGAGTTGCTCACCATAATCAATATCACTCATATACAAACACTTATGTCATAGGTACTTTGACAGTTAAACACATGCTTATGTGGACATATACCTTGCTGTTTCACTTGACTGGTAGGCCCGCTGAATTTATCATGTTTTTAGAAATATAATTTCCTTTTTGACTGCTTCTTGCCATAATGCTTTTCCCATATGAAATGTAATGGATGGAGACATTTAATAAAGAGGATGTGACGACCAAAGTATAAATTGTCTCATTTCGCCTTTAACAAAATACAACCTTGTATTGCATTAAACATTTAGAACCCACTGGAGTTAAAGAAATTAGGTGTGTTTATAAAAAGGCAGTTTTTTAAAAAAAAGAAAACATTGTAAAGTTAAGTCTGCCCCTAAATATACCTGACAATAGGCCAATGATGTATCCCAACATGTAGATGAAAGCCATCCATCCATTTTCCCGAAACCGCCTATTCAGGGTCATGTTGGGGCCCGGAGCCACAGGCGCAAAGCAGGGAACAACCCAAGATGGGACAAGATGAAATCACTATGCTTTTTGTCTGAGGATGAAACACATTTAAACAAAATTCTACAAAGGTTTACAGTTTAAGAAGCAAGAATTACTGTTATTAAAATATCCCCCCTGAAAGCCAAAGAATTCATTAGGTACTTTTACTTTGTCCTTTGTCATTTGAAAGTCAATATCCAGAGAGGAAGCATATTAATATATATATAGTGTTAGTGTAAATAACCCTCAGTTATTTGAATTAATTAAAAGGAATAATATTCTGATACAATTTAAGTTTGCATTTCTTGATATTAGTTGTGTTGATTAATATTCAGATCATTTAAGTTATTTAACCAATAGAGACCTTTATTTTGAAAAGCGGCTTGGCGGAAATGCAAGGAGATCGCGAAA